CGTGTTGCAAAAAAAACAAACACACCCCCCCCCCCCCCCCCCCCCTAATGTGACAATTTCAATGAGCCAGAAAAAACAAGAACAGATTTATGGTAAAAATGTCTGTATGTGTGCAATTATATCCCCAGCTATTCTTAGTGTAGATGTAATAACAAAAAACATAACTCGAGTAATCACTGGCGTCTGCTGTCTGTCGTAGCTCTTCGTTGAAGGTGATGAGAGCACACACAAAGTAATATGAAAGCAATTAGGGTGTCCAGGCAATCTGCTATTTTTGTTTGTCTTACAGCTCATCTGTAGACTAAGTCATGACAAACTATCCCAAAAATGTGAAGAGCTTTTATAACGCTTGTTGTCTTTGCACAATATAGCAGTGCTACATTACCACAGCAAAATGATGAAAAAATTCTTGCGATGCTTTCCCTGATCTTGTGAGCAAGATGATCCAATATTTAGGCTATAATCTCATATTATTTGCTCTGTTACTCAAGTTTTGTTCTTTGAAAACAGCGCATACCTATCAGGGACCTAAAATATATGTGAGCTCCCCGACAAATCTCAAATACCAAACGCTCCGCAGAGAATTAATCTTTCCAATGACGTTACCTAAACGTCAGTGAAAATGAAGAAGTACAGCTCAGCAGCCATATATGAGGTGGAAAATTTATGTCCTACATAAAACAAAACAAAAAAAGTTTCCGACAGGTACGGTAGTAACAGCATCAGTCTGATATGATGATCTCTGTTACATTCAATGAGGAGGAGAATATTCCTTCTAAAAACTGTTGTAAAGGCATGTTCACCACAAGAACTATAACCATAATAATAACTTTAATGACAACTATACTAGTGTCCACACCAATGGATGATAACATTCTCTTTATTATAAGTGTTCACCACAGTTATGTCACTGTCGCTTAAATGCTCAACTCTTTAAAGCAGGATGGATTTTGATTGGCTGTTTTAATCAGCTGAAAATAATCGATTCCTACAATGTCGTTCCTCTGTGCCGTGATGGTTATAGTTGTGGTCTTTGCTATCTATTTAACCCTTGTTGTGCTGTGCTGAAAATCCTTTACCTAATTCGGTGTTCCCAATCAAACATGACTGACCTTTTAAAAATAGTTTGATCTCTCGTTATGCTATATTTTCTCAAAATCTTGCTCTCAATCTTTTTCTCAACTTGTTTTCATTCGATTAGCACAGATTTTGCATTACATTTGGCAACCGTTTGGTCATAGGCCTCGATGATCTGAGCTTACGCATCTCAGTTTTCGAGTGAAACAGCATTATTAGTGGATAATTCTGGCAATGTTTCATCAAAAACTGAGGTGCATAAGCTTAGATCAAGCCTATGAAATTGATAATCTGTGCTGAAATAAAACAAGTTGATAAAAAAAATTGCATCCAATATTTGGTAATAACAGCAAAACAAGCAATGTTTAAACAATTTTTCAGTCATTTTTGACTGGGAACACCAAGTGTGACAAGGTAAGGAAATAAAAATCCCCAAAATTACCTTTTTTTTATACCCTGTGTACTTTCAGGAAAAAAATATGAGCATCACAACATCAGGGTTAGATTTAGAATGATTTTTAAAACTGTATTCATTGTTATTGGTATATTTAGGTCAGCGCTGTGCTTCACGCTTATTTTTTTCAATTAGGTTTAAAAAATAATGATTATCAGACAAATGGACACTTCATCCCTGTTCCATGTCATGTTGTTGCCTTTTTGTGCCAAAAAACCTTTGTCCTTGACACAGTCTCTGGAGATCTACATGAAATCACTCTTGCTCAGGCTCGTTTCTGTCTCTCATCTTGATTTACAGACTCTGATAACTGATAGCACGTGCATTTCATCTTTTAAAAGCGCCTCCACATATGCATCTCATCTCCCAATGGAAAACAACACATTACAGACCTACATACAGCTTAGCTATCAGATGACACAACTATATGAAACCATTTCATCTGTATTGGTTTAGAATTTTTTTAAATATATATATATATATATATATATATATATATATCAAAACTTTCTGATCTAACGACCCTGCTCTGCTCGGCTGCAGATGTTGACATCCATGGCCCAAGCTGGTCTGTATTATTTTGACGAAAGTATGTTCGGAATGTCCAGTGACTCTATAAAAGTCGCTAGCTGTTTAAACTGCACAGCATCATTAAAATCCCCCCGCCACATCAACGTGAAGTAGTAAAACACGAGGAACTACCAGAGGGACCCTACTCTGAGATTAATGGCAATGTGAGCGCTTATAAAGGAATGTGATGGACTCACACAAAATAAGTCATGAAGTGCTATGACAAGAAAGACAAAGTTAAGCAAAACCTAAACAACTTAACATACATCAAACATCCCTCTTACAGGAAGCACTATACTTATAGATCAGTAAGCTGTACCAAACTGTCACAATAAATAATACTTCTCTGAATTAAAACAGTATTATATCCTATAGTGTAATAAATCAGTGCTGCGATAAGTCATGCTGCCTCAATGCAGGCTGAAAAATTCTGGAACTTTGAAACTAAAAGGTTCATTTCGATTCGCCTTGTCAGAGATGTTTGTTTAACACTAAATCTGCTGTTCCCTTTCTAAAAAGACTACGTCACGGATCCTATCAGGAGGTCCCATCGGCAGTATTTTAAAGGGAGTATTTCTCCTAAATACTGCAGTTTGAAAAGAATCAGTATTTTGCAAATATACAATATTTAAAATATTAAAGAAAACTTTTTTTTTTTTGCGCAGTTGCAGCCACTGAATAACACTGCAGGAAACTCTGCACTGAAAAATCACAATCCAATGTTTTTAGTGTTGCAGCATTCCTGTATTTTGTGATCTGGAACTCTGGCGGGAGTAATCGTATTACTTGACTAACTGCTCTGGTGCTTTTGCTTTTAGGTCGCTGTGGTAATAAATTCTGATGCCCACCTGTAGAGCACAGTTCATCATGCGAACGATATGATCAAACTGCTGGTGGTCCAGGATAGCACGGTTCTGCTGCACGTGGCGGCTGAGCTCTTCGGTCAGGCACTGGCGTGCTGCTTTGCCTTTCAGCGCCCGAAGAGCCGCAGGGAGTGCCTGAAAGAAACAGCAGCGTCAAGACATTACTAAAACATATGCTTTTTAAGTGCTCACCATCCACCTAAACCAGACTGGGCCGCCCTCATCTGGATGCAGAAGCGGTTCGCTTGTATACGCGCATACAAAGGGCGCAATCGCTCTAGCTAAATCCAGCCAGTTGACCTCTGACCCATAGTTAAAATTCCAGAAGGGTTGTTATTGATGAGATTTTGCGTCTAGACGGAGGCAGCACCCTCCGCTCAGGTTTACTCGGGCTGACGGAGTAGAGGTTGTGTGGAGGTGATGTCTTTACTGGCTCAGAGAAGCCATTAAGCTGCAAGCACAACATTTTTACAACTGTAAAGGGATGCAAGCTTGCATTGTATAACCTACAATTTAAACTCAAATGGGTGCAGGTAGCTGGCTACCATTCCAACGCAAACACACAAATGATGGCAGGCTCCAAACATCCTCTGTGAGCAGATTTCCTTTGCTACAGGTATTTAGCCTAAAAAAAATGTTAAGATGCTTTAGACAAACAGCAGTCACGGTTAATGTTAGAATAATATTAGTATTAGTGATAAGGGCAGGGAAATTAGAAGAATATGTGTGACTGTTTGTTCACCCCTTTCCTCCTACGTTTGTACGACTTGCAGCTGGAGAGCTTTGCTTATCGTGCTGCGAATGCCATCACGAATGCATGCTAATCTGCATGCTGTCTTTTTCCAGATGTGCAAGTGAATGTGTGGGTTTAATCCTTCTGTCATCACAGAAATTATTGCATCACCTTCTCTGTCTCCAGAGTCTTGTTGTCGAAGATGAAACCGATGCACGTCCGGACCACCTCCAGTCTACGAGCACTGTTAAAAACCGAGCTGGGCTTGCCCATGATAGACACTGCATAAAAGACAAGAACAGTTAACAATGCATTACAGTGACTTAACCGTGGTTAAGCAGTATTGTAATGCACAACACAAAGTGTTTATACTGTAAACCTCTTAACTGTGATAAAAATCACTATTACACACCATCTCAAGTGGCTTATTGCTATTATAAAAGGTCAAAAGCAAAATAAAAGACATCAGCGTCAATAAGTAACCTCTTTTAAAAAATGATCAAATAGCTCCCTTCAGGATGATACAAGACCCCTGTGCTTCACACCAGGATCCTGATCACCCTTGTTGAGGTTTATTCTGCATTAATCATCAACAGTTCTACATTTTTTTAATTACTTAACAAATAAGTAAATCAGAGGTTTAGAACCTTTTTTTTTGCCAAACCCAAATTTTATAATAATTATCTGTCTTGAACTAAATTAAACTTAACTTCTGTATCATGCTGACCTTAACCAATGTTACCCTGTCTATAAGCGAAGTTTTAAAATAGCTTTATTTTTATTATCTGATAATAATTAGAACAACGTATTTATTCATTTTGATAAAATGAGAGTAATTTGTTAAGTGGTATTATGATAATTACCTTTTTATATGTTTTAAAAAAATTACATGTAATACATTTAAATAATTTTAGTACTGCCCACACATTGCCAGTCAAAAGTTTGAAATATTAAGAACTTTTTTTGGTCTGTTTTTGAAAGTCTGCATTTTATTGGTTAAAAATAGTAATATTGTGAAATATTATTACTGTTTAAAATAACTTTTAAAAAAGAAATGAATAATTTTATTTAGCAGGGATGCATTAAAATACACAAAAGTAACAGTAAACACATATATAATGTTTCTACTGCATGCTGTCTTTTTCCAGATGTGCAAGTGAATGTGTGGGTTTAATCCTTCTGTCATCACAGAAATTATTGCATCACCTTCTCTGTCTCCAGAGTCTTGTTGTCGAAGATGAAACCGATGCACGTCCGGACCACCTCCAGTCTACGAGCACTGTTAAAAACCGAGCTGGGCTTGCCCATGATAGACACTGCATAAAAGACAAGAACAGTTAACAATGCATTACAGTGACTTAACCGTGGTTAAGCAGTATTGTAATGCACAACACAAAGTGTTTATACTGTAAACCTCTTAACTGTGATAAAAATCACTATTACACACCATCTCAAGTGGCTTATTGCTATTATAAAAGGTCAAAAGCAAAATAAAAGACATCAGCGTCAATAAGTAACCTCTTTTAAAAAATGATCAAATAGCTCCCTTCAGGATGATACAAGACCCCTGTGCTTCACACCAGGATCCTGATCACCCTTGTTGAGGTTTATTCTGCATTAATCATCAACAGTTCTACATTTTTTTAATTACTTAACAAATAAGTAAATCAGAGGTTTAGAACCTTTTTTTTTGCCAAACCCAAATTTTATAATAATTATCTGTCTTGAACTAAATTAAACTTAACTTCTGTATCATGCTGACCTTAACCAATGTTACCCTGTCTATAAGCGAAGTTTTAAAATAGCTTTATTTTTATTATCTGATAATAATTAGAACAACGTATTTATTCATTTTGATAAAATGAGAGTAATTTGTTAAGTGGTATTATGATAATTACCTTTTTATATGTTTTAAAAAAATTACATGTAATACATTTAAATAATTTTAGTACTGCCCACACATTGCCAGTCAAAAGTTTGAAATATTAAGAACTTTTTTTGGTCTGTTTTTGAAAGTCTGCATTTTATTGGTTAAAAATAGTAATATTGTGAAATATTATTACTGTTTAAAATAACTTTTAAAAAAGAAATGAATAATTTTATTTAGCAGGGATGCATTAAAATACACAAAAGTAACAGTAAACACATATATAATGTTTCTACTGTTTAATATTTCTATTTCAAATAAATGCTGTTCTTCCGAACATTTGATTCATCAAAGAATCCTGAAAAAATGTATCACAAAAATAAAATAATAATAACTGAGCACCAAATCAGCATATTAGACTGATTTCTGAAGGATCATGTGACACTGAAGACTGGAGTAATGATGATGCTGAAAATTTAGCTTTGCATCACAGGAATAAATATATTTAAAAAGAGAACAGTTTAATTAATAACAATTTCACAAAATTCCTGTTTTACTGTATATTTTAGCAAATAAATGCAGCATTAGTGTGCATAAGAGGTTTCATTCAAAAACAAAAACATCGTAATTACTGCAAACTTTTGATCAGTAGTATATGCACCGCTAGTTAATATAATAATTTCACATAAAGTCACATAGTAATAGTTTCCTCACTCACCCACAGGTGGTCCAGCAGGCACCATACACTTCCTCTCTGGACGGGTACTGATAGGGGCGGTGTGCTGCTTGGCCAGGCCCTCCTGTATCAACTCCTCCACCCTTTCCTCCTCCAACAAGGGAAAGGGCACCACATGCACCCGCAGGTGTGAGCCCTCGGTGGGCCGAGGCACTTTCTGGAAGGCCATGTGGGGGTTTGGGTTCTCCTACAGAATGCATGTCAAAACAACTGTCTAAATTCAGTATTAAGAGCTGCAGCTTAATGGATTTCCATGTAAAAATTGGAAAAAGTTCACCATCAGTCATCCAGAGCATAACTCTATGAGCACTACAACCTCCACTGTGAAAATGTGCTTTTCACAGTCATTCATGCTTTTGTATATTGTGAGTGAAAATTTCCAACACCCGGGATAAACTGAGCAGTATTTGATCCAAAAAGGTGACCCGCTTTCACGTGTGTGTGCGCATCACTTACAAAACATTCATCAAAAGTACTATTCAGTGTAAAGTGTAAAAGCTGTCAGAGTTCACCTTTCAAGAAGCCTTAATAAAATCCATCAAATGTGACAAGGGAGAACTCTTGGCAAAAACAGAAGGTCAACCAGAAGGACAGAGAATACATGCATCAAACAGCAGCCACTAAAGTTCAAGCACCTGAAGGATCTGACATTAGAGATGGCGTCATGTGCTTACGTTTTTGTAAAGTTGCTCGGACAGCTCTCGCAAGCGCTTCTGGAATTTGACCAGGTTCTCCTCTTCCTCCTTAAAGCAGTCTACATCTAAAGCCACCAGCTACAGAACAGAAAGAGAGGAGTTCAATGTAGGAACCCATGAATCTGTGGTTACAATGTGCACAAGAAATCAGTTTTTCCACCTGTAATTGATTTAACATTACCCAGAACAATAGCTGGAATTTCACTCAGCTACACTGAGTCACGCATGTATTATCTTCCTCTTGTGGAATGATGTTACTTAGTAGGAGAGTAAATATTTGCTCTAACAATGATTCGATCCGATTACAGTTGTTTACTTAATACAGTACATGATGAAATAGTCACAAATTTCATTCTGATTCCATCAGAGTTTTTTGGTACAATTCATAATTATAACAAAAAATATTCTGACGACACAAAAAATGGGCTCTGTTTCAGCAACTAGCTGACAGTTTTCGTTGCTGTCTACTGTCTACATGGGTAGCATCCTAACTGAAATAAATCATGTAAGTGACTGATTTGGAACGTTCTATATAGGCAGCAACATGAAGAGCAGAGGAGACATGAATCACTAAGGATTATAGAGGCATCTAACTTCACTTACTCATGCACTACTCTATGCCATTTTGTAGATAAATAGACTTCAAATACACGAATGACGTGAAGTGTGTAATATTAGATATGTACGCAGTAGAGTGGAATGGCACCAGTGTTGGATGCAAAAATAACCTACATATTAGTAAATAGTGCATAGTATATAGTGCGTCATTTGGGACACAACTTATTTATGGTGTTAGCATGTTGCTACATTAACACTGCAATACTCAATTAGGGTGGGCATTTGTCCGGTTTTAGGTTGGAGAGTCTGGTTTTGAAACACCTACCAGCGCAGCCTTGAGCTGCACAATCATTTGTCCTCCTTTTAAGATCATCACTATTTAATACTTTATTCAATGGTGTATAATAAAAAATAGAATTACTTTAAAAAAACCTATGTTTAAGTTATTATTAAGTGAAGTACATTTTAGACACAATATTGACTGTTTTGCTCTATTCCTCCAACAAAATTAGTTCCAAAAAGAGTCTCTGATGAATCTCTGATGTTTTGTTCCTGATGATTCAGAATGATTTAATTCTATGATTCAGTGATCCGTTCATACAGACAGTCATTTGTTTAATTCCTGAATGAATCGGTTGTTTTGAACGAAACGGCTGAATGAATGAATCAATGATGCATTAATTAAGCTAATGACTTGCCTCCACCTACTGGCATTTTAAGTTGCATACTTAAAGCATTTTTTCCAACATTTCATGTTTCTATATTCTATTTTATATTTAAAACAATCTTATGACATTTAACAATGATTATATTACCTATAAAGTGTAATGTAATGGATTATGTTACTAACTACAATTTTTGTGATGTCATTTTGTATCAATAGCGGACTACAATTTGTAGCACTGCATAACTGCATCTCAGTACATTCAGCAGTACACTTTAATCATATTTCAAAGACGATATAATTATGAAATGACATATAAAGAAGTATCTACTTCCGGACTTCCGGAGTGAATCAAAGAACACTTTTAAGTTCAACTGACTGAATTAAATATACATTTAAACTACAACACATTTTCATTTTGCACATAAGTATATTCTTTTAAGGTATATAATATCTGTAATAAGTAGTCTTATATAGCATACTATTTCTTTTTTTGTTTAAGTGTTGTGCTTATATATGAACAAGACTTGATCTTTTTGAAAGAATGATGACATAACCCGAAATGGCTACCTTTTTTGTCACTGTAACAACAATTATTCTTAAATTTGGGATAGTGTGGGTATGCAGCCACTCACAGAAAAGGTGAGATGAACATATACATTTAAATGTATAATATCATACATTTAAAGGGCTAGGGCTATCATGCCCTTATAAAGGTAATACAAATCTGTTTAATTTGGACATCAATTTAAAGGGGGCCAAATATTCTACCTTAATGGAAAAGTTCATTTCTGTCACTGCTTGTAGGTTTGGGATTATTTTTCCAGGTTTGATGTTTTTTTTCTGCTTTCTCCACCATCTTGGACAGACTGTTTGTCGCATTGTATTCTGGGATTGCCTTTCTCACTGCAAATAGCCAAATGTTTCCTACGTTCACAAACAGCCCTTGCATTTGGAGGGCACCCATGAATTATCCATTTCTACACCCCTGTGTTACTTAGTGGGCTCTGATAAAGAAGTACCGCACCTCATCAAACAGATCACAGGCTCTGTATGGAGGTCCCCGTTCAGACACGAATCCCGCAAAGGCCATGCCATCCAACACCTTGGTCAGGAAGTCATTTTCTATCAGGCCCCGCTGGCCCAGGAAGGCAGCCTATCAGGGAAAAGAAGGTCAACGATCAAAGAAAAATCATGGCATCTGCTAAAATTCCACTTCAAACCAGCAGCCAAGTTTAATTCAAATGTTGCAGAGAGATTTTTTTAAACAAAACAACTTCCAGAAGAAACAAAGTCAGACGTCTGTTATCTGCATCACCAGATACATCAAATGAGATGGGCATATGTATATTTTAAACAGATCCCCTGTAGCATCAGCCAGTAAATTAAGGAGCATTTGGCAGGACTCAAGTTGCTCAGTTTCGAGATGTGAAGCATTCTTGTGCTATAATCTGAGCCATGTGGGGTGCTTTATGGGGGTCGTATTGAGACGTTGCCACAGAGACATCGGCCGACACAAACAAAAACAGGTTGGGGGGTGAAATAACACTTGCAAATATAAGTTTGATACTTTTCATATGGCTCATTGCGAGGACAATCCGACGGACCAAAGTGTTTTAAACAAACTAACCGCGATACCATCGGCATGAGCGCTTACGTTTGCACCGAGGCACTTCAAAGCGAAGCATGGATGAGGCAAAGCTCAGTGCTTATCTAGCGAGTTCATTGAGATTATTCTTTCATTCTCTGGCTCTGACCCAAACCCATGGTGTTTATGAAAAGGCAGGTGTTTGTACAAGTGCAAGCTGCCTTGGGTTAAGGTAAGATAAACAATGTTGTATTTCAAACCAGTCAGAGTTGTTTGTACCGTCTGGCAGTCTATATAACATGACATGAGATTAATATTTATTCAGTACGTCCTCCTAAGAAGTTCATATTTACGAGTTGGGTAGTCGTAATCATGATGTCAGGTGTGTTCAAATCATTTTGTTCGTAGCAAGATTTTTGGTATTTTCATGGTTTTTCCAATCCTATGCTCGAAAACGCTAGTTCCTATTCACTAATGAGTGACTAATGGTTATCTCCTTTTTTGTTCCACAGAATAAATTCAATACATTTTCAAATACATAAAATATTAGTATCATACTGTATATCTGCCTACAGACCCCTGCTGAACTCTTCCAGACCTCTCACTGAAAACCCTGGACATAATTAGCAAGAAGATCCTTCTCGAACAGTCATTATGCAAGCACTTGAGTTTACTGGACTGATCTGGCATGATGACAGTAATTGCTCCTAATCGCTCGTGGGCTGATGGGCCCGATTACTCTGCAAACGGGGTTTAACATCATAAAGCTGCAGATCAGCGCCCTGCTCTCACCTTATGAAAGTGAATCACAGGTTCGGAATGGATGCGAATGAGTTGCAGACAGGACCTGTAGCCCTGTAAGAGTTGTGCAAACAAGTGCAGGAAGACCGCCCTCACCTCCTTATCCTGTCAAAAACAAGAAAGCCAGAATAGAAGCGACTGTGAGACATTCCAGATAAACGTACGAGAATGGAATGAGTCAGAGTGAAAATTTTCTCGCCTCAAAATAAACTGTGTACGTGATGGGAGTTCGAAATGAACAGATTTTTCAGCCCCCTGAAGACCCAGTAAGAGACTCCCATGTCGGCCACATGAGTGTCAGCCACACATTCCGCAAAATTCACATGTAACCTTGCAAGATTGTAAAAGCGAAAATAGACAAACCAGGCTCTTACCAGCAGTTTGAGGTTGGATGGAGCAGAACGAGGGGGTGGGAAGGCATTATCTGCTCCTTCCAGATCTGGGTGCAAAACCTGAAGACAAAGAAGGTATTTACAGTGAGGAAATATCCTGCTATCTGAGGGAATGAGACAAATGGTGCAAATATAGCTTATGGAATGTCTCCAGTCAGAATCAGCTTTCAATGCTATGTAAAAAAAACATCACTTTATTACGGTGCAAGAGGTTATGTATATGTTGAAAGTGCAGATTAGCTACTGAAGAAAGATTATGAAATATGACGATTAAAGGCGATGTGTGAAGAATTTCACCATTGGTGAAAGCAAATTGAAATAGCTAGTATTTTTCAATTAAATTTAAATGGCAATTCCTCTGCAAACCTTGCTTATGGAATGTCTCCAGTCAGAATCAGCTTTCAATGCTATGTAAAAAAAAACATCACTTTATTACGGTGCAAGAGGTTATGTATATGTTGAAAGTGCAGATTAGCTACTGAAGAAAGATTATGAAATATGACGATTAAAGGCGATGTGTGAAGAATTTCACCATTGGTGAAAGCAAATTGAAATAGCTAGTATTTTTCAATTCAATTTAAATGGCAATTCCTCTGCAAACCTGGCCACCAAGATATTAAGGTGTTGTGGGTTGTTACCAGGGCACTGATATGTGCTTACTAGAGTTCAAGAAGGTTTCTAGGTGCTTGTTTATTGGCCCAAATCAAAAGAGCCCAGTCTCAAGTATCTATGGCTCATATCATTGCTGTCAGGAGAAAAACACACATCTCCAAAAAAATTAATTTCTCAAGAGCATGGAAAAGTTTTTTTCTTCTTCTCATAAACAACCTTACCAAATGAATAAAAACAATATAATTTGTCCCTTTTGGCATAATAGAATTCTATCATTACACATCTTTTAGACATTTTAATTCGACTATCGATTGTTTGAGAGTTTATTTTTGAATACAATCTGATCTTTCACTTACTATTTTAGCTCAAAATCAGTTTGAGATATGGGTTCTGGGTGCAGTGCGTGAACTACAGTCTATAGTTTAGACAGCCCGACAGCTAAGGAAACCAGAACATAAATGGTTTTGACACTCACTTTTCAAGGCCAATGGAGATATTAGTTACATAAATGACCTGATTAAACATCCTTTCAATGGAATTTCAACGCACAGTTAAAACAGTAAAAAGAGTGTGAATTCCATTTGTGGTAAAAGTCAATATTACCAAAAATAGAGGTGAGTGTTTTTCACTGGATTATTATATATGCAAGTCTTATATCGTATAATCTTAAAAAAAGTAAAAGCTCCCCCCTCGATGTCTTTAAGATTAACTCAGGTCCAAAGCACAGTGGTGTAGGACAGGTGAAGCTTTTACTGTATATTTAGGGTTAGGAGTTTGCTCAAATGTTAAAAAAGTATTTTACTATACTATATATATATATATTTTGTTTATTACAAATGTTTAAAATAATACTTTTAAAAAACATATGCATGCAATGTCTACTTAAATGCAACCCAAGTTGCACACTACAGTAAATAAATTACATGACACTATAATGTGTGTGTACATATATTTTTTTTTACCATGGACAGTGCTTTTTGAGTATTGTGCAACAGGGGTTCTGGGAGCTGGGATAGGTGTATACACTCTGGTACTTTAATTGTTCCTCCGTCAAGGTCAGCAATGATCACATCGAGCTGTAAACAGAAACCAAAACCCAATCAGAAATTACCGAATGAGTCATGGAACAACGTTACCAGAATCTGACCACCTGTTTTAAGGCAGATTGAAAAATGTCTTTCTGTAAGGCCTTGAGCTCACCAGCTCTTGGATCTCGCTCTGGAACATGGAGTGCACTCCTATGATAAAGGGCGTAGGCGAGCTCAACACCTCCAGCAGTCGAGATGGGAGGACGGGAATGTAGGGGTAGCTGTGGTCCAAATCAGAGTTAGGCAACCACCATCATCATCATGTCAAGCAATCAGCAGATGTTAACATCAGACTTTTCTCAATAGATACTGAGCACAAAAATAGTACATACTGTTGCAAAAGACTCTAAAAATAGAACGATTTGAAAAATTACACACTTATCATTTCTGAAGAGGACACATTAATTCAAGCTTTTCTTGGCGCATTTGAGTTGTCCTAGTTTTTATGCAATGCACTTAGATTGAACTAGATTTGCTAATAATGTAACTAATGAAATAAGATGCTCTTATCAAGGCAACTTAAGGTCAATTATTCTGGGTATATCAGTAACAGTCGACGTTGACCCACCTGTACTTAAGAGGAAACATGAGGGACTCTAAGGCACGGCAGGCCTCCCCAAGTCTCTGATAGCTGGAAGAGTGGAACAAAACCTTGTGCTCTGTCAGAACCGCACAGAAGAGACTAAGAACATTCTGGATCCCTGGAACACATAAAAATCACGCAAATGCACAATTACTAATGTCATTTTTGATCTGCAAAATTTAGTTCAAATATATTCAAACGCCTTTTCTGAAAACATGAGAGGTTATAACTAGGGCTAGATATTGTCTACAACGTCACAATATGATATTTATCACAAGTCACACATCACAATACTCACTTACACTGTGATATATCGTAAACCATCATATTAACATTATTAGATCTCGACTGTCACTGCTTAATTTTTTGTACCATTTAAACTGACATCCATTCAAGCAAAAAAACTAAAAAAAGCCATAATTTTTTACTAAAGAAAATTTAAGATTAATTTTTATAATGAATATAAAAATCTTGACTGTTAATGTTTAAAAAAAACTTATTTTTTACTGTTTAAATGTAATAAATGTAAACATTTAATGAAATAAAAACTTTACACATATTGAGGACAAGCAAAAGGCAATCATCTTTACTAAACAAAATTAAAGATTAATTTTATAGTGAGTATAAAACAAAGAGCTGGATAAGAGAAAAGTAACAGATCTTGATTGGTACCACTTTACTAAATAATTAATTAAAGATCAAAAACTGTTTGTATATATATATATAATTATTATTTTTTTTTTCAAAGAATTGAAATAAAATAGATGCTCCACCATAGCATAGATGTTCCTTCCAAACATGTTTGCTAACTAGTCCATTAAAAATGTTGTAGGTTAATAATAATAATTTCTTATTATTTTATTGCTGCACTGTTAATCTTGTTTTTTGGCCAACTGCTATAATGGACTGTGTTTTTAGGAGGATTTTTAAACTAATCTACAAGTAAAATAATAAAGCAGGCAGCTGTAAAATAACCAAGATAGTTTAGAAGCCACTGGTTCTTATCGGTGCTCAAACTGGGATCTGTAAAAATCTGGGCTTGTTTCCGTTCTTTTACGTAATTCCATCAGTGCATCTGGTGCTAAATCAACACCAAGAATGCATGCAAATAAACAACGCTATCAGCGGGTGCGATTCATTTGCATATCTGTCTTTATCACGAAGATGCAAAAAAGCCTAGAGAATGGCAAATATGTAATGGAGACATAAATTATACAGCAAACTCCTCAACGGGAGTCAGAGAAGAGAGCGAGAGATAAAAGTTTACAGTTCCTGTTTTTGTTTGTCATCAACATACCACTGAGGCTATTAATCACACGCTCAGCAGAAACAGAGATAGCCAGCTATTAACAGACGTATCCGCAGCGCTGCCGGGGTCAATGTTCCCATTATGTCTGTGTCAAACTGACATATGCTCCAATAAACAGGAACAAGATATGAAAATTCACACTGTCTGTCCTGTTGACCAAATACCAGAATCCAACAATAAGCAAAGAGAGGATGAAATGTTTAGGAACATGAAGACAATTGCATACTTGTCATTCCATTCGACCCATTTTAGAAATGCAATAAGAAATGTAAATGTGTGACATGAATCGTCACGGCCTGAGTGGTTTCTAGCATTTGCTAGGGTCCTACAGGTATGACAAGCTGCTCCTAAACGTTCCTTGGAATCTCAGTGTCGTCTTCTGTCCCAAAAATAAAACGACACATTTCATAATCTTGCTTGCGAGGCATCCAGTAAAACTCTTCCTGACCATGTGACATTTAATTATCTGTTGGAACGGCTACACATTTCTGACCAATGCACAGAAAGGGACAGAAAAAGCTGCAAGCAATAAACACTGAGCCTTATGATGGCAAAAATGCTATTTTTTCTTGATTTCTCATGGTGAGAGACAGGTAGGGTGACACATTCTGGAATGAAGCAAATGACTATCTTCAGGAATGTGTCACTGTATCAGTGACGCGATTCATTAAAAAACAGAATTATTCAAGAACGAAAGACCACTGTGTTGATCAGATCAACAATTATTATTTTTTAATTATATGTCATTGGATAAAGTATAAAATATGATTTTGAAATGTAGACAAATGAGCATCTGGCTTAATGGACATGGTATTTAAAGGGATAGTTCACCCAAAAATAAACATTTGGTCACCATTTACTACTATCATTTACTTAGCCTCCAAACCTGTATTCATTTCTTTCAGCTGTTGATATTTTGAGGAACGTTGGTAACCAAACAGTTGACGGTAGCCATTGACTTTCAATTGACTTTTTATTTAAAGGGAAAGTACACCCAAAAATGAAAATTCTCTCATCATTTACTGACCCTCAAGTTGTTGCAAAAAGAATGTTGGTAACCAAACAGTTGACGGTAGCCATTGACTTTCACATTATTTTTTTCCATACTATTTCCTCTTGAAGCCTGTAAACGGACATCATCGTCAATGACTTTATCCACATTTCCTTTGTCTCAGAGTGAGGCCTGAAGAATGGCCTGTCTCTGTGGCCATCTGTGTAGTTTTAGGTTGTTTTAATCAATTTATTTATTAATTTTATACAATTAGATAAAGTACAAAATAGTAATGATAGGTAAACAAATGAGCTTCTGGCTCAAGGCTGCAGCGGCTTGATGGACATGGTATTTAAAGGGAAAGTACACCCAAAAATGAAAATTCTCTCATCATTTACTGACCCTCAAGTTGTTGCAAAAAGAATGTTGGAAACCAAACAGTTGACGGTAGCCATTGACTTCCATAGTATTTTTTTCCATACTATGGAAGTCAATGGCTACCGTCAACTGTTTGGTTTCCAACATTCTTTTTGCAACAACTTGAGGGTCAGTAAATGATGAGAGAATTTTCATTTTTGGGTGTACTTTCCCTTTAAATACCATGTCCATCAAGCCGCTGCAGCCTTGAGCCAGAAGCTCATTTGTTTACCTATCATTACTATTTTGTACTTTATCTAATTGTATAAAATTAATAAATAAATTGATTAAAACAACCTAAAACTACACAGATGGCCACAGAGACAGGCCATTCTTCAGGCCTCACTCTGAGACAAAGGAAATGTGGATAAAGTCATTGACGATGATGTCCGTTTACAGGCTTCAAGAGGAAACAAGCAACTATATGTTGACAGACAAGTGTTCCTGTTTTCCTTTTGATGCTTCTGTGGAGCACCTGACGCTGAGTGTGATGTTCAAGATGTTATTGCCACATAATGGATGAAACAAGTGAATGGCAGACAAGAACAACATTTGAGAACACAGCTTTTTACAGGTCGCTAATGTTGACTTAACCCATCTGAAAATACAGTCTAACCAAGGACGAGCTCTGAGCCAGATAGGCCTGATCATTGATAAATCTGTTGTTGATTCACAGAGGAGAACAATGGAGAGGAGGTAGAGCATAAATTATACAAAGAAGTTCAAGATGACATTTTTATTAGCTCATGTAGGTCAGCATGTTGCTGGGATATTACAGGCTTGGGTAACCTTAAGATCAGTCCCAGAAGTGCTGCGTATCTGGGAGGATGAGACATTGACATGAAGCTCTTATCAGAGACCATGCACACAGAATGGTATTTGGGATGGTGTTTTCTTCTCTGTTGGGTCAAAGACTATGGCTGCCTTACAAACCCACTTGTGAACTTTCCAATGCAGGACAAAGAGCGGGCACTAATGAACTTGACATGCATCCAGGAAGATTGGTTTGTTTCTCACAGAACCTCTTGAGACATCTTGGAAAGCATGAGTTTTTTGCTTGAATGTAATTTGAGAAAAAGCAGAATTTCCAGTAAAACTGATAATCGCTTATTATATATATTATTATATATTAAAATACTAAACTGTCATTCAAAAGTTTGAGATCATTACGTTTAAAAAAAAAGTATTTAAATTGATCAAAAGTGACAGTAAAGACATCTATAATGTTTTTCAAATTTCTATTTCAAACAAATGCTGTTCTTGCGAACTTTCTATTCACGGAAGAATCCTGAAAAATAATGTATCACCGTTTCTACAAAATATTAAGCAGCAAAACTGTTATCAACATTGATAATAATGTTGAAACTCAGCATTTTAGACTGATTTCTGCAGGATCATGTGGCACTGAAGACTGAAGAAGTAATAATGCTGAAACCTCAGCTTTGCATCACAGGAATAAATTAGATTTTAAAATATATTAAAATGGAAAAAAATATTTGAAATAGTAATAATGTTTCATAATATTAATATTTTACAGTATGTTTGGTATAAAAATGCAGACTTCTTCAAAAACATAAGAAAATCTTAATGACCACAAATGTTTGAATGGTGGTGTATGTACAATATGTACAGTGGTGTGAAAAAGTGTTGGCCCCCTTCCTGATTTCTTATTTTTTTGCATGTTTGTCACACTTTAATGTTTCAGATCATCAAACAAATTTAAATATTAGTCAAAGATAACACAAGTAAACACAACATGCAGATTTTAAATGAAGGTTTTTTTATTAAGGGAAAACAAAATCCAAAACTACATGGCCCTGTGTGAAAAAGTGTTTGCCCCCTAAACCTAATAACTGGTTGGGCCACCCTTAGCAGCAACAACTGCAATCAAGCGTTGGCGATAACT